CGAACCCATGGACTGCAAGATCATGACCTGAGTTGAAGTCGGACACTTAACTGACTGAGCCACCCAGGGGCCCCTAAAAGGGTCAACTTTTTAACTGAAAAAATTTATTTTTTTTAATTTTTTTTTTCAACGTTTATTTATTTATTTGGGACAGAGAGAGACAGAGCATGAACGGGGGAGGGGCAGAGAAAGAGGGAGACACAGAATCGGAAACAGGCTCCAGGCTCTGAGCCATCAGCCCAGAGCCTGACGCGGGGCTCGAACTCACGGACCACAAGATCGTGACCTGACTGAAGTCGGACGCTTAACCGACTGCGCCACCCAGGCGCCCCTTAACTGAAAAAATTTAAAGGGGAGTGCTAGGGGAAGGATCAGATATTGTCAGGGGATATTTAGTGTTATAGCATTATTGTATAAAATCTACAAGTTGTCAGGGGGAAAGAAATTGTGACCTCAGCACAACTATGAGTTGACAAGTGTTTTTGAACAATGCGAGAACTCAAGGTAAATAGTGTTTATAAGTTCTTTTTGATAAACTGTAACAAGATGAATATCAGCTATCCAGTAGATGAATAGAGAAAGCAGGAGGGTAGGTATAAATTTGCTGATTTCCCTTTATTTTTCAGCTGGAGAACAAAATCGTAGAAAGTTGAGACATCAAGGGGCACCCAGGTGGTTCAAGTCATGATCTCACAGTTCATGAGTTCAAGTCCCACGTCGGGCTCTGTGCTAACAGCTCAGAACCTGGAGCCTGCTTCGGATTTTGTGTCTCCCTCTCTCTCTGCCCCTCTTCTCTCTCTCTCTCTCTCTCTCTCTCTCCCCCAAAAATAAATAAACATTAAAAATTTTTTTTAAAAGTTTAGACATCAAGTAATAGAGGTGTTAGTCTATGTACAGGAATAAAGATAAACACTTGAAAAATTAAATGTAATATGTTTAATCAAAATCAGTGCAGAGGAGATACAAAGAAGTAGAACTATATTAAATTTCTTATCCTAAAGAAATAATCAGATGCAACCAAAGATGAAAGAACAAAACTTCTTGTCTTTACACTTTCTTTATATTTTGCAAAGAACTGAAAACATGTATGGCATATTTATAAAAACTGGCCACATCCTAGATCACACAAAAACAACAAAAAGCTATCATACAGATGATGTTTCGTGACCAAACCTTTTCTCAGTTTCCTCTGTAGAAGTGGTTCTTAGTAAGGTCAGTAGCATCAGCAGAGCCTGCCAACTTGTCAGAAATGCAAATTCATAAGCCCCATCCCAGATCTACTGAAGCAGAAACTCTGTAGGAGAAGCCCCCAACCCTGTATACGTCAGGTTTTTTACATATCCCATTTATGTTTGTTATTTTCAGTTGTTATTTGTAGAATTCCATGGTAAATATTTTTGTTTTTGTCATGTTTGGTCTCATATCTGATTATTTCTTCAGGAGAGAAAGTTAGCAATTCAAAGAGTGTGCTATGGAACTTTAGGTAACTTTTTCTTTGTTCTGTTGCTAGTTATTAAAGGTGAAAAAGTAAAAATAAGTTTTTGTCTCTTTAGAAATATCTTTTTTGTTTACAGAAAACAAGATTATCTTCTTATCCAAAAAAGATGACACCAACTGGGTTACTCTCAAAGGACAACCAAGTGAGCACCACAGACTAATGAGTAGAATCAACAAGAACGTGATTTTGGCGCTTTTAACTTTGACAAGTTCTGCATTTCTGCTGTTTCAATTATACTACTACAAGCACTATATATCAGCAAAGGTAATTTTTTTTGTGTTTCTATCTACATATTTTTCTGATGGTGTTGTCTTTCTTTAGATGCTGTGCATAGTTTTAAGGATGTTACACCTTTATCATATATATTTCAAATATTTTTCCTGGTTTATTAATTTGTCTTTTAACTTTATATTCATAGTATAACCCCCCACCCCCCACCCCCAGTACATTTGTATTTAATTTCTAGGTAGAAAAGATTTCTAAGTAGAAAACCTGTCAAGATCTTTCTTCCATAGGGCATCTAGTTTTGTGTCATAAGTAGCCAAAAATTGTGGAAGTATTCACCTGTATTTTCATCAAGTACTATTTATGTTTAATTTTTTTTAACTAAATAGAATTTATTTTAGTATGAGGTATGAATTAGAGCTCTAACTTTAAAATTTTTCCCAAATGGTTGACCATTTGTCCCAATATCACTTATTGAATTCCTCCATTAACTTAAAATCCCATCTTAATTATATGTGACGTTTCTACAAATAACTACTATTTTGACCCTTTCCCCTGGAATGCATTGTAGCTCTTTGTATGTTTTTAAGTAGGCTCCACACCCAGAGTGGAGCCCAATGCTGGGCTTGAACTCATGACCCTGGGATCGAGACCTGAGCTGAGATCACGAGCTAGACACTTAACCACCTGAGCCACTCAGATGCCCCAAATGCTGTGTAGCTTTAGTTGTAAAAAGCAGAAACACTACTTTAGGATTAAACCTCATTTATGCTGCTTATTAACTGTGGGATCTTGGGTAAATTACTTTTAAATGCTCTGTTTTCTCATCTACAAAATAGGGATGATAAAGATACCAGCTCGTAGACTTGTGAGGCTTAAATGAATTAATACACATAAAACATTTGGAACAGTGCATGTCATAAAGAGATCAGTAAATATGAGGTATTATTATTATCTTCATATAGTGTGATCCTGGTTTCAGGAGTAGAATTTAGTGATTGATCACTTACGTATAATACCCAGTACTCATTCAAAAAATTTATTTAAAAGTCACTGTTTGCTAAGCATTTTGACAAGGTGACAGAAACAATGAGAAATGTTTTTTTTCTTCCATATTTTTATAATTTGCTGGGGACAGATGCTAGTGGAAGTATAGATGCTTCCGGTATGTTATTAGTGTGAAGATAAAATGCTGTCTATAAGGAATACAATTAGTTTCTCTATCCCAGCCAGAAAAAAAATGCTTTATTTAAAAATAGTAAGTATAGTTAGAATAATAGACGTTATTATTTAAAAGCTCCCAACTTTTAAAATTTTTTCGATTTTGTTGAGGAAAATGTTTAAACTTTCAGCTTTTTATTAAACTTCAAGATCTCACTTAAACTTCAGGGAAATACGGATGGATCTCGAGTATTCTAGTATAGTTTCTTATAACATAGGAAGAGAATTCAGAATTCTGTAAACTTTGCTTACTGATTATATCTGAATTGCATTTCTCTTTGTTCAGTGTTCTCAATTGTGGGATATCCTTAGAAAATTCACGCAAAATGATTTCTAGTTCAATTAAAGTTGTTTAATTTATTAGCAGAAGAATGGAGAATGGTAACCTTGATCAGCACTAACTTACACATCAGCAGCATCAGCATAAAAACCATGATTTTAAGGACGCCTGGGGGGCTCAGTAGGTTAAGCATCCGACTTCAGCTCAGGTCATGATCTGACAGTTTGTGGGTTCAAGCCCAGCATCAGGCTGTCTGCTGTCAGTACAGAGCCTGCTTCGGATCCTCTGTCTCCCCCTCTCTCTGCCCCTTCCTGCATGTGTGGGATAAATAAAATAAATAAAACATTAAAAAAACAAACGAACATGATTTAGGTCATGTTTGAACTTTCAGACAATTCAGAAAGACACTGAGATTGTGTGTTAAAGCTAGGGCAAGAATGAAAAGTTGGTTTTATCTGTGATCACAGCCTACTTCTAGTAGTAAATGCCTGCAGTAGTAAATGTTGAGGACTACATATCTTTTCAGGCTCTTCAGGAGGGTACTCTAATATTTATCATAGGTTAGGGAAGAAAGGTTATTGATATCTTGGAGTTAAGGAGGCATATTTTTTTCCTAGTTATAGTATAGTATTGGTTTTAGGAGTAGAATTTAGTGATTCATCAGTTACATAGAATGCCTAGAGCTCATCCCAAGTGCCCTCCTTTTTTTTTTTAAATTAAAAAAAAAATTTTTTTTTTTAACGTTTATTGATTTTTGAGACAGAGAGAGACAAAGCATGAGCAGGGGAGGGTCAGAGAGAGAGAGGGAGACACAGAATCTGAAACAGGCTCCAGGCTCTGAGCTGTCAGCACAGAGCCTGATGCGGGGCTCGAACCCACAAACCGCGAGATCTTGACCTGAGCTGAAGTCAGATGCTTAACCGACTGAGCCACCCAGGCGCCTCCCAAGTGCCCTCCTTAATGCCCATCACCCATTTAGCCCATCCCTCTTCCCACCTCCCCTCCAGAAGCTCTCAGTTTGTTCTCTATAGTTAAGAGTTTCTTATGGTTTGCATCCCTCTCTGTTTTTATCTTATTTTATTTTTCCTTCCTTTCCCCATGTTCATCTGTTTTGTTTCTTAAATTCCACATATGAGTGAAATCATATGGTATTTGTCTTTCTCTGATGGGCTTATTTCATTTAGCATAGTTCCATCTACATTGTTGCAAATGGCAAGATTTCATTCTTTTTGATATTATATTCCATTGTGTATATGTGTGTGTGTGTGTGTGTGTGTATGTATGTATATATATATGTATATATATACATACACACATACCACATCTTCATTCATCAGTCAGTGGGTATTTGGGCTCTTTCCATAATTTGGCTGTTGTTGATAGTGCTGCTATAAACATTGGGGTGCATGTGCCCCTTGGAATCAGTATTTTTGTATCCTTTGGATAAATACCTAGTAGTGTAATTGCTGGGTTATAGGGTAGCTCTATTTTTAACTTTTTGAGAAACCTTCACACTGTTTTCCAGAGTGGCTATACCAGTTTTCATTCTCACCCACAGTGAAGGAGGCCTACTTTTGACCATTTCTAGGGCCTCGCCACAGAATTCCTTTTGGCCCTAGCTGGTTAGACAAGTTTAGCCTTTCTATGATCTCCCAAATGAGGTCTGAATAATCCAGTTATTTGATAGCATTGAAGGTAAGGAATTTGTATATCTATTGGGTCAGCTAAAACTCCATAGATGGGTGGAGTTGACTCTTCAGATTCTAGAACAACCCTCTAGATCTTTGAAATACAGACTCTTACAGGCCTTTGAAATACAAACTTGTGTGATGACCTTGTGAGCAATTTCTGTGAGCTCCACCTTTCAAGCAATTGGCTGGCAGTTTACATCACAAAGGTTATCTCTAGGACTCCCTATAGAATGTCAGTTGTTCATTGTTTTTTGTTTTGTTTTGTTTTTTCTTACTGCACCAACCTAGACAATCTGATTATAATTATGTGCTCATTCAATCTGTATTTATTGATTACGTGTTATATACAGGGCACTTTGCAGGAATAGAGATAAATGGAACACAGGTCCTACTCTCAAGGAACTCATAATTTGGTAGAAGTGGCAACAGCATTAATTCTTAAGTTTGGGGCCTAGATAATGCTGAGTTTGACTCCTTATTTGGTTGTTTGTCTTAACAGCAAGTCACTTAACTTCTTTAAGCCTCAGTTTCTTTAAATGGGGCTACTGGCAGCTTTACTGGTTGAGATAATGTATGTAACACATCTCACTTAGTGTTTGATATATGGTAGGTGCTCAGCAGATGGTAGCTATGAATAGTGCACACATTCTAGTCCTTTCAAGGTTTACATTGCTGCCTGATAAAGAAAATTGGATTTAATTATTACACGTTTCTCATTGATCATTTTTTTCATAAATGAGTTATCTGGAGCCTAGATATGTTAAGCTTCTTGCTGAAGATTGCCAAATTCAGGTCCCAAAACTTGTGTCCTCACTCATTGAGCTAGTCACACATGTAAATACAAGTATGTTCAAACAAAATACTGTAACATTGATAAGATACGAGATAGATAAGATGGCTCATTTTGAATCACAATAGAAAATTATAAAGTATTGCTGCCTCAGTGGAAGGAAGACAAAGCCCATGAACTGTGTTTGTATAAAGCACTGGGTGAACCAAACCTTAATAATGTCCTTGACTTAGAACCATAAGCAGCACTCAGTGCCTGCAGTATTCAGCTACTCTTACTACCTAGAAAGCCACTTACAGGGTTCTGTGCTAGGATATCTTACTTTGCATTGTATGTACTTTTTTGCCCCTTATGACTATATTTATGTGTACACACATGCACACACACACTCGGCACTGAATGGGGAAGGAGTCAAAACAGAAAAGACAAGAAGCCTCCAAGTGGCACTGGCACAGAGGAGGAGGAGGAGGGACAAAGGAGCGTTTGTCCCTACTCTGGCTCCCACCAGCAACCTCCTAATAGGAGGTGAACCTGAAGTTGGAAGAACAGGAAGTGCTTACTCTTTTAAAGGAAAGTGTCAAAAGACAGTCATTTCTCTTTTAAAAAGCCTCTTCCCTCTACTCTCTGCCCACTGCCAAAAGCCTGATCCTCTGAGCTGGCTGTCCTTAAGGCTGGGGCAGGACAAGATGGTGGGGAGTGTCCTAAGACCAAAGATCTGAAGTGCCCAGGCCCAGAAGGGCTTATACGAAGTGGCTGCCGGGCTCAGGGGGTGATCCCCTCTGTGGTCCAACTGGTCCTGCCCGCGGGCAAACTTGGCCAGCTTGTTGAGCTCCTGGAACTGTCTGTCTTATGGCTGAGCAGTGAGCTGCAAAGTGTGTTTGGTTAGAAGGTCAGGAGGGAGTTGGAAGGGGAGTTTGGATTTCAAGTGTGGCAATAGTTATTCACAGTGAACAATTCCATATGCCATTATTAGAAATGGAAATTAATCTTGCAGCCATTTAGATCATGGCAACAAAGGTTTTTGAAATTTTTGAGTTGGTCAATTGCTTGCTAAAAT